TGAAGCCTTTCATATTGAAGCATGTCTATAGAGGTTTCTAGCAGTGGGAGGTGACAAACATCAAGCCATATTTCAAGATGTCTGCTCACTGTATCTTCTCTCTTAAAGTCACCCAAAAATTTTGGTTTTCTGGGGAATTTTGCCTATCTCAGTTTGACCCTGAATTTTAAGTGACACAACCTATTGCAAAATATGATTGGTGGACATGAAACACGTTAGTAGCTGAATGTAAACAAGTTCCTACTGGTCACTCTATGTGTTCCAATGACATCATTGATAAAAGAAAGAGAATCTATTGGTGCGTATCCTCCACTCCTCCAAATGAAGCGTAACTGAAGCAAAGAAATTATGAGGCCATTAGGATAGACACTAAATTCCCTAGATGATGAAAAGGTAGTTATTTGTTCAAGCTGAGGCCTTTAACTTCTTATCATCCCGGTTAGGTAAAGTACGCAAAGAAGGTTATTTCCTTATCCCGGTCAAGCTGTAAGACTGAAAAGCAGAGGAATGTAAAACATTACCCTTCTCTAGGATTGAGAATGCATTTCCCCAGATGTTGTGTAATAATATCGCAATCAAGATAAATACCAGTAAAATTCCTTTAACTAGGCATGACTACTGGAAGATATCGGGAGTTACCCAACAAGACTGAAAAGCCACATAAGAACCTGGGATCCACTGTTAGCCATTTTCTTCTGCATGGGTGGATATAAAATCAAGATCAAAAGAAAGGAAGCATTGAGCAAGACACTGGATCCGAGTAGGCGATAAGTATCTCAGACGATTGCAAGAAAATAATCAAGAGCACAGATGAATAAGTCCCTTAGACAGTTAGGAAGAAGAAGGATATCTCAGAAGGGTTGATTCCTAATGAAAAGAGGTTTCCTAGCCAAGGTCCTTTGGAGGACATGGAGCAATTTTAAATTTCTTTTTTTTTTTTCATTTTCATGTAGTGCATTTGCATATTTATAGATATCCTCCTTTCTTATTACTTTCCCTTTTCTTTTTTTATAGTTTCTTGAATTCAGTTCCTTGAAGGATAATAAGCAGTGACAACCTGCTAGCAATGATGTGTAAGTTAGGAGGGTCTTCATCCAAAACTTAGTTCAGAGCGAAATATTGTCCTCAAGGTTGCACTTAGAGACTGAAGCTCTTTTGAGAATTGATAGCCATTGATGAGTGTATCAATACGAGATTTTAGTTTAGCCATGATGCAATTGCTCTATATATCTTAATTGGTTTTCTTAATGATTAATAAATACATAGTACTGGCCTGATCAAGGGGTTTAAAAAAAAAGAAAAATTAATAAAAGCTTGTTGATATTTTATTATTAATATTTTTTATTTTTAATAAGATTTTGAGATTTAAAAATTTAAAATTAAATTAAAATAAATAATATTTTTTAAAAAATTGAAAGAATAGACCAATATAAAAAAATATAAACAATAAATAAAAAAGTTTTAAAATTTGAACTTTTATTTGTTTATCTTTTTACAAAAAAAAAAAAAAAAATTATTATAAACTTATTTTAATACAAATAATTTTTAATATAATATTATTAATTTTTTTATAAAATTCTTTATTATAAATAAAAAGATATCATAAAATAATATAATGTTAGTATACTGTATATTAATCAATTTTATATATTTTAATATCTTGAAAAAAATATATATTAAAAGTTATCTTATCTTTTTTTTAATAATTAATCAAAATTGATTATTTTTTTATATTATTAAAATTTATTTTTAATTCAATTATTTAAAAATATTATAAATTGATTATTATAGTTAATATTTTTAAAAATTGATAATAAAATTTATATACTGTATATTATACTTTAATACTAACTTTATTTTTTATATTTGTTTATAAATTTTTTATATATAGTATAATTTTTAAAGTTTTATTATTTTTAAAAAAATTTTTCTTTATCAAAATTTTTGCTTTTAAATAATTTGAATTAATCTTTATTATAAATTATACAATAATTAATAAAGAAATAAAAATTTAAAAAAATAGTAAAACTTTGGAAATTATTTATAAAAATTTTTTTAAAAAAATGTAAGAAATAAAGTAAGTATTAAGGTACAATATATAGTATATAAATTTTATGATTTTGATTGCATAATTAAAGATTTAAAAATTGAAATTTATAATAAAACATAGTGGATTAAAACTTTTTAGACACAACTGTATATACAAAACAAAAACAAAATAGTTTACAATTTTTAATAATCCTCTTTTCAAATATAATCTTGTTTATATGAAATATTCTTTATATTTCGGTTATTCTCTAGAGAAACTTATCCATTCAGTTTTTATATTTGTTGACTTTATTTTTCTTATCTACTTGTATAACCCCAAAACAAATAAAATTTTCATATAAACTTTTTTTTCTAATACTGTAATTATTTATACATTTTAATGCGCTTGATATCTTTTGTAAAAAGATAATTGAATTTACACTTATGTTAAGGGAACTTTAGATAAAGACAAATACGTGAACAAAGTTATTATATTATTTGATATATCATACTTTTAAAAAAACGGCAGACATACTGTATAACCTTATCAAACTCAGACATTAATTAACTAAGCGTCTGCGTGCAAATGCGACACATAGATTACAGATCCGCTGTTCACCTCGATACTATAAATATTCTATCTAGTAAGTTTAGAATATCTAAGTGTTATTATTCGGATGAAATCCTTAAAAATAGTATCATTAATATTTGCTGTCAAAGTCATTTTATTTCGATAAATTGGAAATAAAAACCAAATAAACAAAGTAAAAAAAAAAAATCTTGCGCCCCAATAAACTTACGCAATGGTTGTTAATTTTGCTCGAGTTCCGAAACTATTTCAGTCTCGTTTCTAAATATACAAGTTTTAGAAAAACAAAAATTTTTTTTTCTGATATAAATCAACACAATAATTAACTGCCACTCACATGTCAAGTTCTGAGAAGTACCTTGGTTAATGCATAGTACTTGTAACTAATCCAGAACACGTAAATATAGTAAAATTCCTCCTTACCACAAGTATCTTCCTGACCATCTATTACCGTACATTGAAACATGATAAATTTTAACCAGGATACGCTAATGAACAATTTTTGATTTTAAAACCTTACCATATTCATTAATTTTACCAACTTCGGAATTTGATCCAGCTTGAACATTCAAATCATTATTATTGTAATTATTAATATCACTATTATTAATAACGGTAATTAGTATAAATGTAATCGTAAATCACTCTTTTTTTTTTTTTTAGATACTTACAAAGAATTCCTAGAAAAAAGTCGATCTTTGCAATCAAATGGATTAATTAATGAAAATGAAGTGACAAAGTTATCAAATTAAATCAACGAAATTACCAGACAATTGTTTATTCGACTCCAACATAAAGTTATATGGTCTGCTATAATCCACTGCATTTTGATGGACAGGTTCAACTTTTTTTACAAACGGAGTATTGGATTCTACCATTTGTTTACGTTTTATTTCCGCCGTTTTAAAATTTTGGAAATCCTGGACTCCAATTATCTCATCTATTACTGGCCTTTCTGTGGGGTTAAAATCCCAACATTTTTTCATTGAATTCTCCCAACACTTGGGCGTGTCCGCAGTAATCTCGGGTCGCAATCCGTTAAGTATGTCCGAAATGAGTTGTGCATCATAATATCTATCATAAAATGGGTGACTTTTAGACGAGAGTTCCCACATGATCATACCTAAGCTGTATATGTCAGATTTATACGAATATATTCCTTTAAAATTCTCTGGTGCCATATAGGGAAGAAGACCATAAATTATAGGTTTTCCTGAAGAGTCTCGCTTTGTATCAGCGGGACGACTTAATCCTAAATCAGTAATTAATGGGAATATACCGCTACTTTTTCTTCTCAATATTAGTATGTTGCCGCTATGCAAATCCCCATGTACTATGTTTTCTTGATGAATTCCCTTAACGGCTTCAGCTAGTGCAAGGATAATCTTTCTTTTGGTAGCCCAAGTTAATGGATCATCCATGCTGGCCATAAAATTCTTAAGACTTCCATGACTTGCATGTTGCATAACAAAAATATAATTTCCAGTTTCAGGGTTTTGCGAAATTCCATAACATTCAACTATATGACGGTATTCAGGTTTTCCTACTTTGAATTTGTATAAAAGCTCCAACTTTGATCAGAGAAACAATTAGTAATGGGTTAAATAAAAAAACAATCCAAGTAAATCACATACTTCGCTTAGAATTTTAGAATTTATATCTTTTATATTTTCTACCATGCCTTCTATATTGGTAAGAACTTTCAGCGCTACATCTAAAGGATCAGAACGAATTATTGTGCCCGTTCTTGCATCCCACTTTTCAATGTGCCCCTTGCACCACGTTGCTTTGTAAACCTTGCTAAACCCTCCTCTTCCAATCTTTTCAAGATTCGAAAATTCTCCATATGGTATCCATTCTAAAATGCATCTTCCTTCGTTCCCCAATGACTTTTTGAGAAAATCATCAATATCCTTGTTACCGCTTTTCGATATGTTTAACTTTGCAAAAGAGCAAAGCCTACATAGATCGGTGTTCGAGCTTGCATATCTCCTCTTCTTTTGACAATTAGAACAGATTCCCACTTGATACTTATTGCAAGGAATATTTCTAGGTCTCTGAGGTTCAACCTGAATCTCCGGAGAGCTTGGTGACGCTGTGTTATTTTAATTCTTAATATAGAATACGTATCATCAAAAATTATTCAAAGTTCACATTTAGACGTCTACCTGAAGGATGCATAATATTGGATGAACTCCGTGAGTTTAAAATAATATTTGCAGAATCCATAATAGGATTTAATAATCTGGCATGATATGCAGAGGTGGGATGGTTTGGTTCAGCTTCTTTTACATCAGTCATGACCATTTGTAGACGTCTCTTCTCGGCTTCTTCGTACTGATCAAAACTATCTCCGTGAAATCTATCTGCAACTCTAAATACTGTTTCTATATTAGGCCGATGCGATGGATCTGGACTCCAACATTTTTGCATTAGATTTTTCCAACAATCGGGTGTATCCTCGGTAACCTCTGGTCGTAATCCGTCACATATATTCACAATAAGGTTTTCGTCATGCGACCTATCGTAAAATGGCCGACGACCAGACGTGAGTTCCCACATAATCATACCTATGCTATATATATCAGACTGCAAGGAAAACGGTCCCCCCTTAAGAACCTCGGGTGCAACGTAAGGTATAACTCCATAAACCTCGGGGTATTCGGATTTTTTATTTATAGCCTGATTAAATCCTAAGTCGGATATCCATACTTTTCCAAAAACGCGTTTAGGTGACCTTGCCAATATATTGCCGCTATGTAAATTCTGATGAATTATACCCTTCCCATGAATTGATCCAATTTTTCCGACAATATTATTAAGAATCATTTTCTTTTTAATCCAGGTAATCTTATTAAAATTCGTTTGCAAGTAGATATTTAAGTTACCCAGTTTTGCATATTCCATAACAAAGATATAATTTCCAGATGTTGGTTCTCGCGAGATGCCGTAGAAATCATTCGCGGACCACCCCGAAAACTTTAACTGCAAAAAATAATAATTAGTATTAAAAAAAAAAAAAAAAGGTATACAGTACAAAAAGTCCAGAAATCTTTAAAGTTTTAAATAACATTTCACCTTTTTAAAAAATTTAGAATCTAGATTTTGAGATTCATTGAGAACCTTCAATGCCACCTTTATTGAGGATTTCCGCATAAAACTCTTACTGTTCTCATTAATTGGTCCTTTGTGCCATGTTGCCATATAAACTTTACTTAATTCGCCTTGACCGATCTTTTCTACTCCTGAAAATTCTTCGTACGGTATCCACTCTAAAGTAGGCCTATGCCCTCTCATTAATTCCCTGAGGAAATCGTCTATATCCTTGTTGCCACTTACTTTAAGATTAAAATTTTTGAAATAACAAATTTCGCATACTGCATTTGCTAATTTTCCCCTGTTATGGCAATCCGAACATATTTCAGTTCGATAATCATCATCATCAAAATTTTTTGATTCGGTTATTGATGAGTCGTGTTGATTTTTGTCAACTTCTGAACCTTGCAGTATTTTTTTATTGTGAATAGGATACACAGTATAATGCATAGATATTACATGGGAAAATTAAATCTTACCTAAAGATCGTGTGACATCAGGGTTCCTTGAATTTAGGATTGATCTTGCTGCCTCTATCAGAGGACTCAGTAATCTGCTATGATATATTGAATTCGGATTATTTGATCCATACCCTTTTGCGAATAGGGTACCATATTCAATCATTTTTTGACGCTTTTCTTCGGCCTCCTTAAATTGTTGGCAAAATATTTTTTCATCGTCATCAGACATTTTCATAATCTCTTCAATTTTGGGTCGGCTCGAGGGTTCGGGGTCCCAACATCGACTCATTAAATTCCTCCAACACTCGGGTGTGTCGTTTGTAATTTCAGGTCGCAATCCGTTGCATATTTCCACAATAAGGTTTTCGTCGTGTTCAATATTGTGATATGGTTGGTAACCAGATGCAAGCTCCCACATAATGATTCCTAGACTATATATATTGGATTGAATTGAAAGTGATGCCCCCTCGAATATTTCGGGCGCAATATAAGGTATGACGCCATATGTAGACTCTTTAATTGTCGAAAATCCGAAATCGACAGTTAACGAACAATCCGGAAGCATTTTAATAATCAATATATTGCCGGGATGTAAATTACAATGAGGATGATTGCTATCATGAAATCTTCTAATTGATCTCGCGACATTATATAAAATCTTTCTCTTATGAGCCCAAGTTATTTTGTTGAAATTAGTTTGCAAATATTTTCTCAAATCACCATCATTTGCATAATTCGTAACAAGGATATAGTCTTTGGATATGGGATCCTTTGAAATTCCATAAATTATAAGGCGCCGTCCCCTTTTAGTCGGTATTTGCATGAATGGATAAAGATAATTTAAGTGTCGTAACTATAAAGATACGAACGGGTAAGCGAGAAATAAACAATCAATTGATGGTATTTGGAAACTCGATTAGTGCATATGGTATACCATACCTCTTCCAAGAGCTCCGAATTCATATTATGCGTTTCATTAAGAACCTTTAATGCTACCGTGGTCGGCGGTATTCGGAACAATTTATCAGTTAAAAGCGAGTCCTCGCGAATTCTCCCTTCATTCCATGTTGCCTTATAAACTTGACTAAACCCCCCTTGTCCAATTTTCTGAACGTTAGAAAACCCTTCATATGGTATCCATTCCCAAATAACATGATTTTTTACCAATAGATCTTTCAAAAAGTCATCAATATCTTGATTGCCACTTTTTCTAAGAAAAACCTCTCTGGAATAACAGATTCCACATAATTTTCTATCATTATGCGTAAAGGTGCGTTTGTTTCTCTTGTGGCAATTTGAACAAGGTTCAACCAAATTTTGTTCTATGCCGGCCCTTTTAGGAATTTCGAGTGATGCTGTATGAATATTTGAATCGGAATCCATTCTATTTCGAACCAGATATCCGAGCTCTTATTAAACATATGCGATATATATATAAACTGTATATACGGTATATATACGAATAAAAAAGCTTCCCAGCACGAAAGATCAAATTCATATTACCAATTATAGAATCAATAAAAACCCACAATGCAGTATAATCAATAAAGTTTTAATCTATCCTTTTTATTATTGGAATTCTATTTACGGGTTTGGAGTCAAAGTATGATAGCTTATTGACGACTATTGTATCCTCTAATGGCAATTTAAATGAATCCTCTTCAAGACAAATATACCGTTTTTGGAAATAATGACTCTGCGATATATTAGTGTAATTATTATTTGTCAATAATCCATTAAGCTAGGTTATCACTTATCACTTAATTACAAAGTATGCTCGAGCATTATATACGTGTAAATTTTAAGCTAAATACTATATGATCACCGTTAACAAACTTGTCTTAAACCCAAGTCTCCTAGTTTAATTATGGAAACAATTTGATATTTTGTGAAAACCTTGAGTGAGAATTCTTCTAATACTTACCCCACAGTCAACCAATTATCACAATCAGTTATTCTTCTATACTATTGAACAAAGCGAGAAATCATAGAGAAAAAAATAAATAAAAAATAAAGAAAAAATAAATGAATAAAATATATACTGTAAATGTGTTATATAATTGAAAAAAAAAAATTGAAATTTGGTTGATACCTTTTAGATATAGTTTTGAGAATTAAATTCATATAGACTTATATAGATTTATACTGTATATACTTTATTTTGAAATAATTAATTTAATTTAATTTTTTTTTCTAAATCTAGATATATAGTAGGAGACAAAAAAAATTGACTTTTTTTTAAATATATTTAACTTACTTAATAAAGAATTATTTAAACTAAATTAAACTTAAAATATAAATACTCAAATATCTAAAAATTAATTTTACTTAAGACTATTTTATAACTTTTATTATTATTATTATTTTATATTTTTATTTTAA